TAAACCTAAACCCTAAATCCTAAACCTTCAACCCTGAACTCACCGCTCCCCCACCAGAAGCCCTGAATTTCAAATCAAAAGCTCCCAACTCTCCACCTCCCATCGGCATCCCCAATCACTCAACGCTAAACCCACAAACTCAAACACACGACCTTGGACCCGAAAGCCGCCATCCTAAAACCTGAACCTTTTACCCTAAATTCTATGGCCTAAACCCTGAACCCCAGCCCTATGCCCTAAAACCTCAACCCTCAAATCTGAAGCTTCATCTCTCAACCCTTCGCTCGATGTGCCCCCTCTAAATTCTTCACTCCGACTCATGAGGGCGCGCTTCGCAGGCGAAGAGAGACCTGATTTCGCAAAGGGTACAGGTCCTCTATATGGTAATACGCTGTATGGCGAAAGTCTTGCACCACTGACATGCTAGCAAACAATATCTGTTAGACCCCAAAGTACTATATAGCCCTTATCATGAGACCGCCAAAATGGATCCCCATTTTTTGGCATATAGAGTTCAGGAAAGAAGACAAGTGGATTATCAGGGGGCTCAAAAGGTGGGATGAAGGTAGGTGGCTAAAGGATCCTTAGTATATTGTCTACGATATTGTGGCTTATTTCCTATACCCCACCTTCGTTCATCCCACCTTTCGAGCCCTTTGAGGTTCAAGGTTTAGGTTGTAGGGTTCAGAGTTTAGGGCTTGGAGTTTAGGGGTTGGAGTTTAGGGGTTGAGTGCAGGGCTTAGGGTTTGGGTGCAGGGATTTAAACAAAAGCTGTAGGGAATCCAGACAAGTCTGGGGCACTAATATAAGCACCTAGCCCTTGAAAAGGGGGATTCTAAGGACCCTTAGAGTATATGAGCTATAGTCTAAACGTCTACTATCCCCAGAAGACTCCCCTAACTGACGCCCTTTCAGGATTTTAGACTATAGCTCATGTAAGGATGCCCTGTTAGGGGCCTATTCTAGGGGGACCCAAGGTTCTTCGGGCCCACCCAGGATTTAGGTTTCAGGGCCAACCGTAGTTTCCACAATAACAAGCGGAGGTGTCCCTGAGGATTCACCACGTTTTTTTTTCTTTCGGAATGCTTAGGGGTTTAGGGTGTAGGGCTTAGGGTTCCGGGTATTAGAGTGTTACAAAGCATCAAACATGTGACTCTGGGAGCACACTATTGGTCAATATTTAGGCCCCTGCCTTGTTTCTCAAAATCTGGGTCGCCCTTTTTGCGCCACATAGTAGGACCCTTACGCAAGGAGTTTCCAAACAGGGTCGTGGAAATCTGAGAAAACGGTGCATGCCTGAACCGCAGAAATACTTACCACAAACAAAATATAATAGTAATATTGGGTAACATTGGGTTTTACTGGGTTATATTGGCATAATGGAAAAGAAAATGGATACTTCTATTTAGGGTTTCCTAACATTGGTTTCACTCCCATTGAAGGGGAAATAGGGGTTATGTAGGGTTTATATGGGGGGGTACAATGAAAAAGATCATGGATACTACTATTTAGGGTGTAAGCACGCCTTATCAGCTCATGACAGAGGTAGTTCCGAAAATTATTGTCCCATCTTCGCACCCCTTAGTGTTAGGTGCCGTACTTCAATCTACAGCCAAACGGGGCCCATAATTTTGTGAAGAACCCATGGCTTCATTGGGCTATTCCATCAAATGAACCACAGCCTAAACTCCTAGCATCCCCCTCAACAAACCCTATAATACTCCCCTATATAAACATCTCCTACATGACACACCTTTAAGGAGTTCAGACCCTAAACCCTAAACCGTAAACCCTATATAATCCAGCTTCAGGGAGTTTAGACCATCGCTCGGGGGCCGGGGGAGGAGGTTGGATCCTGATCAAGGCCTGCACTGCTTTGATAGGTTTAGGGCTTAGGGTTTAGGGTGTAGGGCTTAGGACTTAAGTCCAGCAAACTTCATCGTCCCCTTATCATTACATATCTGATGTTTTCCCAAGTCTCAGCTGGGTTATGATTAAGCAGAACTACTCTCTGAGTCTTCCTGAGCCTCCTAGTAGGTGCTTGGCTATGGGATCTGTTCGGATTCTGTCGTGATTATTACAGCCCTTACCCGTTTGTTGTTTGGGAAGGAATCCTAAAACCACGCAATGTGCAGTACTATTCGGATCTCAGCGGCACATAGGCAAGCTGGGAACAAAAGATCAAGCCGCAAACTGCAATGGCCACAAGGTCGTCATACACTTAACGGTAACTTCCCAAAATCAAGGGACCCCAATATAGACACAAATGTATTCTAATTCATATTATGGGACCAAAAAAGTATCCCTAACTTTCCCTAAGCCTTGATCCCTGAACCCTAGACCCCAGAAAAATCTTGAACAACCTTTTGGGAGACCGCCTAATCTGACAGTCTGAGGCAGCGTGCTGCGAGGAAGGCTTCGCCATCCTGGCACGCAACTGATTTTGGGTTTAGGGTTCAGGGTTTAGGGTTGATTTTGGGTTTAGGGTTCAGGGTCTTTTTCTCTTATCGCTCCTTTTCCGCCATGCGGCAAAGATCTCAGGAGATCGAGCGTAGCTCAGACAAAACAGATAACCGCAATATATATACGCCATTACAATATAGTAGTTTCCATTTTCTTTTCCATTATCCCTGTATATTCCTAAAAATATACCCCAAAATCTAGCTCGGTGCACATCGCCCTCGAGGCAAACACTGCAGGTTCCCTTAGCCAGCAACTCTCGCAGGGCCCTAAGAATACATGAGTCCTGTGCATGGGCCTGCAAAAACATCTACCTTCAAGTATGGGAAACCCCATGCTTTCTAGGAACCTAAACCCTAAACCCTAAACCCTAAATTAGACAGGAATACCTCCTTGACCTCGGCGAACCGCGGTGCGAACACTGCTTCCTTCCTCAGCACGGTCGCAACTCACAGGGTTTAGGGTTAGCGTGTACCCAGACCCCTGGGAGGATCTAAAAATTAGATCCCCTATATAGACCCATTATAACCCCATATAATCCTTATATAATTTCCCATATGGTTCTAGGGGATCTAATTTTTAGATCCCTTTGGGGGTCTGGGTAGGGCCGCAAATTCGGGGTACCAATTTTGGGGATCTCAAAAAGAAGGATTCTCATCTTTTGGGGTCCCACATCGAACAACTTGAATAAATTCTAAATTCATGCAGCAGGTCTCACAGCTTCGAAAAGGGAAATCGTGCTTTTGCAATGATCCCAGATTGCTTCGGGATTGTCAACAACGGCCTTTTGCAAAGTAAGTGCATGCACGCATGGAATCGTAGAGGATCCCGGGGGCATCCGCAAGAAAGCGATGCTGGCATCCAAGCCATATGAAGCGACGCCTTTTTGGCTAAGGATGGCAACTGAAATGTTGACGCAGATAATCCGACTGGTCACGTTAATGGTATTTCTTAGGAGGACCCCCCACCCTGTAATAGTGGTATAGTAGGAATATAAGAGGACCCTAATATTATCCCTATTATCCCCTATAGTCACTATTACTGGGTGGGGGGTCCACCTAATATATAACCCCATATGAGCCCATATAGTAGTTTCCATTTTCTTTTCCATTATCCCAATAATTCCCAATATAAGCATAATTTCAACAACCTAACAAGAGCTATAGACTCCTGCCATCCTGCAGATCTGAGATCTCTTCCTGGCTGCATAGCATCAGACGGTCGCATCTTAAACCTGTGTCCGTTGGACACTGGGCACCTCTGCTCTGGCAGACGAGGTTCAGGGTTCAGGGTTTGGCCTCTGAAGCGCCATTACGTGCAAGATGAGTTAAGCTGCTGGCACTCTTCACCCGGATCGGGCCAAGGTGCAAGGAGCAGAATCAAGTCTTGTCTCTGGTCGGGCGGGCCACGAATTACTGCAGAAAAGTTTAAAACACAAAAACTTCGGCCGAGTCCTTGGATCACAGCTTGGCATCATTCACCCTGTTCTTCAACACGTCTGGCCGGGCCTTCTTACTCGATGCGGTCCAACAGGGGTGACTGGCCAGCTGTGTACCTGCGAGTGTTCCTCCAAACAAAGGGCCCCACATCTCCACCCAGAAAGAGAAAGTCCTTACTGCCATAACCTCACAGGATCCCCGTTCTGCTGAGAAACACCCACGTTGGCTGGACGTGATGAAGCAGCCCTGATCGGGCTGCAGCCGGAGTCTAGCAAGCTCACAAGTTGCGGTGTCTGCTAGCAAAAACTGGAGGACCCAGGCATGCTGAAAGCTCATCGCGCAACCCACAAGGGATCTTTCAGCCCTCTGCAACTGCGAGTCTTCCACCAACGCGCCCAACGCGCGATTTGTATCAAGCCCCTGGTCTGGGGTGATGTAAAGTAGGATAGCTCCTGCAAGGCCAAAAGCCTATACTGCTTGCATGGAGCCCGTCGCCAAACAGATGGCGGAAGAGATTAGGGCAAGTCGACCGAACAGAATGCCAGCCTAGGACTGGAAATTCGCATTACATAAGGAGTCAGGGTCGACTCACCGCCACAACCCGAGAGGCACCAGAATCTGTTCCCTCCTTCTTGCACCGCCACAGCATGAAAAAATCAAACAGCGCAGTCTGACCCCACCAGCACAAACGCAGCTTCGGCGTTGGCAGATTCTGGTGCTAAGCACTGAGAAGATTCGTATAGACGTAGGATCAGCATGCAGACAAGCACTGGATCAGCCACGTCGCACGTCAACCACTGTCAGCCAGCATACCTCCTAGCCTTGAACAGATATCCTACTTGGACGGGACAACTAATTTGGACCCTTGGTCCCATCTGGAGAGTGTTCGTCTGCACGTCTTGGTAAGCATTGGTGCGGTTGCCCACAATGCTACCAGGCACTGACCAATGCGATCCATCCGACGGATGTGCCAACTGAATTAAGCATCCACTACAGTTCACAACCCTCGCCGAAGGGCAAAAAACCTCCAGCATACTTCACAGCTATTAGCTATTTGAAGTAGGAGCTGACTGCCGCAGGCGTCAGGCATGAATGATTCCTCTACAACTGGATGGCCTGAAGCACCTGGATTTCCGTATCTGCCCAGCTCATTCGCCCAGCAGCCAAGCCAGCTGCCTCAACAGTCATTAAAACCAGCCACAGTCTAACATCCTAGCATCTCTCTCAATAAGGCCTGTAATACTCCCCTATATGACCCCGCCCATACAACAACCCTTTGGAGAGCTTAGACTATAGCTCAAATGGTTTGGGAGCCCTTCAGCCTTCCATGTGGCTAACGTTCTTGGTTGCTTCGTGCCCCTAAACCCGAAACCCAACACCAAAAACAAGAAAATGCAAAAGAACTTAGAGTTGCAGACTACTTGCACCTTATACATCCCCTATCTGCCACTGGCTTCGTTTAAAAGGGTTTATACTCGGGTTATATAGGGATACTGGAAAGTGGAAGCTACTATTTAGGGTTTAGGGTGTGGAGGTTTCCCAAATTTTGGGGTGCCATTTTGGTCATAGGATTAAAGTATCTGGGGTCTATATTGGGGTCCCCCTATTTAGGGAACCTACCATATATCCCCTATGTATCCGACATCCGCCTGCCCAAAACCCTACATCCCTAAACCCTGAACCCTACAACAACTTCTTTCAGGGTCTCCATCGGAACCCATCCCCGGGTTGACGCGGAATTCCAACAACAGACCCTAAACCCTAAAATCTACCTGAACCCAAAAGTATGTAAAATAATGGCCTTGGTAGCTGCTATTATGAGTTTCGGGCTATTATTTTACGTACTTTTGGAGTTTAGGTAGTACCGAGAGCAGTGTCCTTCTAAAAGAGGCCTGTTTGAAGTCTCCTTATCAGCTTTAATATAGAAAGTTATTCCAGCTCATTGTCCCCTCCTGGGTACCAAATAGCTGAGTCCACACATTCTAGGAAACCCCAGAAGAGTCCACCGTATGAGCGGCGTTTACGGTCGTGGAACGAATCAATCAAGATTCTATTTCTTATGATCAAGTACTGTTATACCCAAAAGGAAGATAATCTTGCTTTATAGACTCTAAACTACTGGTATCCCCTTACTAAGCCCTAGGGTTTGGGGTTTAGGGTTTGGGTTTAGGGTCAAACTCCTAGTATCGCACTTAATTATGTTGGGGACTCCTACTCGTCTGGTTCCAGACCAGGCACCTCCCTGCGTCGACGACGACTGTTCCGCCGGCCATCATGCAAGTGGCAGAAGTCACAAAACGCACCATTTTTGCAGGAACGTGCTGGAGGCTTGTGGTAGCCTCAGCTGGAAGTTACTGTGCTGAGGCTCGACACGTTGGCTTGCGAAGTCCTGACCTACAAGGACAACTTCCTACAGTAAACCCCTACGCAATCAGGATAGGACTGCTGGTACTAGTCCAGCGCCCATCCTAACCATCAGATCCCACACGCTGCAGAACCTGCGCTACTCTTAGGGGGGAGCACCAGGGATATGCAAGAATTGTAGGGGGATCGCGGTGGTCCTTTTCGGGATCTTATAGGGATAGTGTTGAGAAATACATGGCAGCCTAGGTCCGGCAACCCCAACAACCTAAACTGCCCAAACCCCAAACTGTGTGGCAGCCGAAGTACTGCAAACCAAGCACAGAGCGTTGGTACCGTCACCCACGTGCAAAGCGCTCCCGAAGGAGAGTTCAGGTCCTGGTTGCAGGTTGAAGGTGAAAAATCATTCAGCTTTATGGCTTTAGGGTTTAGGCTTTTGGGGAAAGGCGTCCGAACTATGTCTTGTATGTTTTGGAAGGTTAGGGGTTCCTCAGCTTGACAAACTACCACCACTCTCTAAAAGGGAGCTTCCAAAAGTTCAGGGATCCCTTTTAGGGGGGTGGGGGTCCCTAGAATCAAGTCATGATACTGAGGGCCCCATATGAAAAAACTCAGATGCTTGCATGGCTGAGCGATGTCAGGAATACTTTCATCCCTCGCGTGAAAACACAAAAGTCAATGCACTGATGATCGCTCAAATGAGCTACAGTCTAAACTCCTTAAAAGGGCGTATATAGGGGATTATATACGGGATTATTATACTGGATATTAAGGGGGATACCAGGAGTTTAGACTATAGCTCAGATGAGAATAGGATGCGAGATTGTGAACCCTAAGCCTCCAACCCAAATGAGAATACAAGAACTTCTGACAAATGTAGCCTTCGCGATGACGGAACCAATGTGGCAACACAAGAATACAGCCTATGATCTTTGGGTTTTGTAGTTTAGGGTTTAGCTTCCGGCGCTCAATCGACATGCCTTTGCAGCGCAGGATGCAAGAAAAGGGGTAGGTGAAGGACCAAAAAAAGTGAAGATCGTGTGGAGAGTTTCGGGATCTCCTATGAGTCAGTACGAAGGTTCCCCCAGGATTGTTTTGAGAGAGTTGTCGACCAAGTTCCGGATTCAAACAAGGATTCAACCTCGGTAAGAAAATGAGTAATACATGGGGGTAGAAGCCTGAATATTATGGCTCCACAGCCGTGTAGGGTCTTTAATTTCAGAGCTCTCGAGCCAAGAATCCATCTGGAGCTACAGACTTGATCCGAATGTAGTCGCTGAGTCTTATACACGACCTGTAGCTCTCACAGCTTGCTGCGGAGGATATGGCCGAACGACTCAGGCGCAGTTTCTCCAATTTTCCCGGTATGGTGCATGGACCCAGACGAATCTGGAAATCATCGGAGAGTCCGTCGGAGGAATCACTACAAAAGGAGCCTCTTGAGGAACGGAACCGCCTCGGCGCCCGAAGGAAGCGCGGCCATGGGAGCTCCTCGGGGATGGGTGGGATTGGACGCACAGCCCGGATGGCATCAAGGTCCATGTAATGTTCCCGCGCGCTATCCTTGCGTCCCTCTAGGCTCACGGGCGCTGACGTGGACAGCAAGGTCAGATGCCCGACTGCCATCAATCAGAAAAGCCCGCCTTGGGCCAAAAGGGCAGCGGTCGGCTCCAGCATGCAGAAAACCTGAAAGTCCGTGGATGCATATACACTGAGAACCTTGACCTGACCTTTGCAGTGAGCATGATGACATCGATAGTGGGGTAAACACTTGTACTGTGCTTGAACTTCTGCTGCCCTTCTACTACCTGAACCCCAAAGGTATGTAGAATGATGGCCTTTTGGGCTGTTTTTTAAGCAGTTTGGGCCATTATTTTCCCTACATTTGGGCTTCAAGTACTGAAATGTAGTAAGTAGCATTTCCTTCGCCAAGAAGAGCAGCAGTGACAAAGGTAGCAAGATAGGCGTCTACAGCCGGAGCCCCAAAAAGACCCTGCTCCGTGCTGCAGTAGTCCTGCAGTCCTGTACTCGCCTCTGGTTGGCAGGGAATACAGGAATCAAACAAAACACTGGAAACTATGATATAACTGGGTTGGCCCCTAAAACCTAAAAATATTAATATCTAGGGTCCCCTATTAAAGCCATTAACAAAAAGATTAAATATCCCAGGGGCCTACCCAGATAATTGGCGATTATATACGGACGTGTAATCGCGATACCCATGGACATCCATGGAGGACGGCTGGGGTGAGCTGCAGGGAGCACTCCAGTCCGGTATCTTTTCAGCAAAGTACGTATACCCCCAGGCCCATGCCTCACACTCTAGTATGCTACTACAAGACCCAAGTTATAAGGTATTTAGGACCATGCAGGAATATCTAGAATCCACCGTAACTAGGCCATGGGCCGACTGTACAAACCTGCCTGCATTGTCATTCCCCTGAAAAGGTCCCTCTGGTGTACCCCCTAAGCCCTAAACCCTAAACCCAAGGTGTAGGGATCCCCACCATGGGGAAGGTTCAGAAGACACCCGAAAGTTTGATGAACACCCGCATGCAACCCCCGATCACATGATACCCGTCCGTCATCAAGGCATATCCCTGTGCAAGGTCTTTGGATCCTCAGGGAAGCACCTACGACTTCAAAACAAACATCAATATAAGTATAATGGGATGATGGGTTCCCCCCCTATACTACATTTTTAGGCGCCCCCTTAATTAGGGTCAACGATAACAAAAGGAACCTAGGGGGGGCAATGGGGGGGGGTGAAACAAGGCCTTCAGGCAACCTATGGGGTCTTTCATGGGGCCCACTACGTTTTCAGCGTACCCAGGCTAGGGTAGGTCTGGGCACCTTTTCAAGTTTTCTTATGGCTTCCTGCGGGAATATAGGGATTGAGGGCAAGAAAAATTACAAGCTGTGTTCAAACCTAACCCTGAAGAAGGGCCCTTAATTCAAATAATGATGGCAAATCACCATAATATACTACAATCTACTGTAATAGACCACAGAACACTATAAGATACTATAGAATACCATAACATACCACCCAAAAGGCCATCCCGAAACTCTCTGCTCTACACGTTGGGTTAAGACCCCACCTACGAAAATTGGTATGAAATAGATTACATTCTAAACCCTCAACCACCGCTAGCCTGCTGGATAGCCACTCTCAACATCTATGTTTCCCTATTGGCCACAAAAGGAGTTTGGTAACCTCAACCCTCAAAATTAGGACCTCATATGACGATTATGTGTTGGCTATAGGGTCCCAATTTTGGGGGTTGGGGTTCCCAAATTCCCCTCATTAGGGTACCAGCAAATATCAGATTCAGTCTGGAGTTCTAGTAGAATTTTCCCTAGAATTACATGAGCTCTAGTCTTACCTCCTAGTACCCCCCTTAATAGCCCCTATAATCCTTCCGTATATCATCCTTTGTACAACCCCCTTTAAGGTTGGATATTGGGGGATCCCTATTACAATAAGGTCCCTAGTATGCCCAAGCCAGGGACAACAATTTCAACGACCTATCATTCCACACTCCCACCGACCCTGAACGCTGAACTCAATACCCTAAGCTCTTAAAAGTAGTTGCCGTTTCAACGTCCATTTGATTCTCCATTAATAGGGTAACTTATCCCTATACATGTCTGTATGACCCGTATACATCCTTATATGCCCCCATCTATCCCTATACACCTTCCCAGATCTCCATACATCCCTATACAACCCCTATGTTTCCCCATACATCCCTAAACCCTGAACCCCAAACCCTAAACCCTGAACCCTAAACCCTAAACCCTGAACCCTAAACCCTAAATCCCTATACAGACCTGAAACTTATATCCATCAATGACCCAGAGCCGAGTCAGATGCGACTCCGTGGCCCAGGTCTGCAGCCAAACAGACCTGGGCGTTTAGGGCTTAGGGTTGATGGTTTAGGGCTTAGGGTTTAGGGGGTTTAGGGTTTAGGGTTTAGGGGGTGTCTTCCTGGGGTTCATCTGCTTACTATGATTATGATTAAGGGGGTTGTTTAGGGGTAATGGATTCCAAAATTCTCGAAAAGGTCTCGGTCAGATACCCGCCGCGAACGGCTTAGGGTTTACAGTGGTTTATGGAGATTGCGGTTTCCACATTAGCGTCGCTTTTTGGAAGTCCCTATATTAAGCACCATGGCACTTTGGGGTTTTATTATATATATATATATATCTCTCTCTCTCTCTCTCCATTGGGCCCGTTTTGTTTGGAAACTACCTATTCCTTTTTCCACTTAGGCCGCTGAGGGTTCGGGTTTTTTGGGTTTGAGGCTTGCATGTCGTAGAACTTCAGAGGGTTTAGGGTTAGGGTTTAAGACGGGATTCTTCAGCCAAACTCTGCAAGCTTCTCGTTATCCTGCAGCGGGGATTCCAAGCCGGCCAAGTACATGCCTTATAGGAGATAAAGAGATTCCGGACGACCATACACGCGTACAAGAAGTGCTTCAAGGTTTGGTGTAAGTTTAAACAAACGCAGTTCTAAACAAGAAAGATTTCATGAGAACCATCACTGCGACATCTTCATCGTAATTTAGACATGGAGGTGGCAAAAAAAGGTGTCTCGTTCTGGAGCCACTTGTAGTGAGGATTGTACTATTTGGGGGAAAAAAGAGAAGTGGGACACCACTTCTAGTGGGACACCACTTTAGGAAATGCCCACTTCATTATTCCCTTTAAAATGATCATTCAACTGGCGCAGTTATCGCCGTTATCGCTGCTGAAACCTCGTGCAGCGGGGCTGTAACTCTGGACTAACGAAGCTGCTATTATGGCCGTCTGGCCATGACCACCCATCTACGCCCTAAACCCTTAGCCATACATGTCCTTGAACCCCAGAGCTTAGAGCCCCGAAGCCCCAAACCAGAATCATAACGCTCCCATTGCAGAAGGTTTTTTGATGGTCTAGAACCTATGCGGCCCCTCAATCAAAGAGAGTGGCAGGGAGCAGTGTACGGAGATACACACTGAGGGGTCTACCTTCTAGCTCCTTTACATGATCTACTGTAGAGGGCTGACTAGTTACCATTATCTTTGTGGGGATCAATTTGAGGTACCCTATAATACACTCAGTGTGCCAGGGATCTAGGACCATTATGGTGGCAACCATCCTGGTATAAACTCCCTACACGGTTTCCAGTTCCTGTTCCAAATCCGATGTATCCGTCTATAGTCCCACACTATATAACTCCTACATCCCTAGATACTAAACACTAACTCCTAAATCCTAACCCTAATTCCTTAAACTTTTCGGGTCTTTGGGGCATGATTGTACCTATTTTCGGGGTTCAGGTAAACCCTAACCCCTAAACCCCTAAACCCCTAAACCCCTAAACCCTAAACCCTAAACCCCTAAGCCCCTAAACCCCTAAGCCCTAAACCCTAATAGGCTTGTTTGAAAAAAGCTCTGGGCCGCAGGGCTCCGTGCTGTTCCGCCAGGGTAGCGCAGCCATCCTCCAGAGCCCACCCTAAAACCCTAAACCCTTAGGGTTTTAGGGTTTAGGGTTTAAGGGTTTAGGGTTTGGCGGTTTAGGGTTTAGGGCTGAGATGGGTTTAGGGTTTCAAGGGATGAGATTGATATAGTTACCCTAGACCTTATAAACCTTGAACCCTAGTGGACGGATGATTTTTGAAGAATACATGTGCGGATTTATCTTCTCGAAACAACATTGAACAGGACGCTTGTCGTGGTGCCGTGGTGTGGCTAGTGTTTAGGGATCTTTTCATTCTCTCCTTGCCTGGGCCATCTGGGTAGAACAGTCACCCCCAAGTTCAATCCTTCAGGTCCAACCAGACCCACGAGCAAATCTTTGCTGCCTGACCTCACGGGTGAGCAAGATACTGCAGTCCCCATCATCAAAGACCTTGAAAACTGTCCCAACTAAATCAGCTCTTGTAGCATGCGCCTTGTTGATCTATGCGCATGCCGCGAATGCACCAGTCTTGTGTCCTCATGTCCTTCCCGTCGCCGGGAGCTATTAGCACAAGCAGTGGGGGCCACCTCAGCTGTCATGTCTTGGCAATGAGACTTCAGGGATTCATGCGGTTTTGCGACACAAGTTTCTGTGGATTTGAAAGTCGAGTCAAGTTAGATGTTTTTTCCACGCCGCTTGCGGCGAAGTTACAAGCAGTCTTGGCGCCGCGGTCTATACAGGAACCCACGGAGGCGCTCGCCTCTGGCGAAGAAACCTCACGGGGTTATGGAGCGGTGCCATCGTGCCCGAATAAGGGCTGCACTGTAAACAATCCAAGCTCCGCGCGACGGCACTGTCTGCCCGCCGCTGCGGCCAGTGCAAGCTTGGCATGGGTTTGCCACGCCCCGGCGGAGCTGTGGCCAGTTCCGAAGAACCAAAATCACGAATTAATTCAATTTATTCTAAGGCCGTAGTGGCCCAATGGAAATGTTGCAGGGAACTGAAAAACTTAAAGCCTAAAGCTTTACTAGCTACATGTGGGGCTGCAGCAGCTGCGATAGCTCAGGTCTCCACCTCAGCCTTCTCGGCCCCGGGCTTCTCGAGGTTCATCAGGTCAGGCTTCTCCGGGCTCAACACCTCGCCATCGTCGTCTTCATCCGGCAGGCTGTCAGCAGCCGC